TTTGATTGTGTAGTGGGGCCCCTGTGTTTGTATGTATAGGTGTTGAAGTCAAAGACTTGCTTTCCAAAATGCAACATAGCCATTTGGAATACTGGTGCCAAATGTCTAGAGTCTTAAGACTCCAGAGAGTAAATCACAGCAGAAAAGCTGACTCTCGAGGAAAATTCTTGCCAAAAAGTGACGAAGAATGGCGTTATGGCGTTTTGGAGGGAAACTCTTTGATTTGATGTTGAAATCAAGTTCATTAGTGCACAGACTAACCCTCTCTTTTTTTCTTTTGCAGTCTTTTTTCTTTCTTCCCTGTCTCTTGTCCGAGTGTACTTGCAGGTATTGACGACGGCCGGGACGGGATGTTCTCTGAGGGTCCGCTGTTGGGGTTTTGTGAGTTGAGTTGTGCATGTTTAATTTCATGCTTTTTCTTGGAGTTTGATTGTGTAGTGGGGCCCCTGTGTTTGTATGTATAGGTGTTGAAGTCAAAGACTTGCTTTCCAAAATGCAACATAGCCATTTGGAATACTGGTGCCAAATGTCTAGAGTCTTAAGACTCCAGAGAGTAAATCACAGCAGAAAAGCTGACTCTCGAGGAAAATTCTTCCCAAAAAGTGACGAAGAATGGCGTTATGGCGTTTTGGAGGGAAACTCTTTGATTTGATGTTGAAATCAAGTTCATTAGTGCACAGACTAACCCTCTCTTTTTTTCTTTTGCAGTCTTTTTTCTTTCTTCCCTGTCTCTTGTCCGAGTGTACTTGCAGGTATTGACGACGGCCGGGACGGGATGTTCTCTGAGGGTCCGCTGTTGGGGTTTTGTGAGTTGAGTTGTGCATGTTTAATTTCATGCTTTTTCTTGGAGTTTGATTGTGTAGTGGGGCCCCTGTGTTTGTATGTATAGGTGTTGAAGTCAAAGACTTGCTTTCCAAAATGCAACATAGCCATTTGGAATACTGGTGCCAAATGTCTAGAGTCTTAAGACTCCAGAGAGTAAATCACAGCAGAAAAGCTGACTCTCGAGGAAAATTCTTGCCAAAAAGTGACGAAGAATGGCGTTATGGCGTTTTGGAGGGAAACTCTTTGATTTGATGTTGAAATCAAGTTCATTAGTGCACAGACTAACCCTCTCTTTTTTTCTTTTGCAGTCTTTTTTCTTTCTTCCCTGTCTCTTGTCCGAGTGTACTTGCAGGTATTGACGACGGCCGGGACGGGATGTTCTCTGAGGGTCCGCTGTTGGGGTTTTGTGAGTTGAGTTGTGCATGTTTAATTTCATGCTTTTTCTTGGAGTTTGATTGTGTAGTGGGGCCCCTGTGTTTGTATGTATAGGTGTTGAAGTCAAAGACTTGCTTTCCAAAATGCAACATAGCCATTTGGAATACTGGTGCCAAATGTCTAGAGTCTTAAGACTCCAGAGAGTAAATCACAGCAGAAAAGCTGACTCTCGAGGAAAATTCTTGCCAAAAAGTGACGAAGAATGGCGTTATGGCGTTTTGGAGGGAAACTCTTTGATTTGATGTTGAAATCAAGTTCATTAGTGCACAGACTAACCCTCTCTTTTTTTCTTTTGCAGTCTTTTTTCTTTCTTCCCTGTCTCTTGTCCGAGTGTACTTGCAGGTATTGACGACGGCCGGGACGGGATGTTCTCTGAGGGTCCGCTGTTGGGGTTTTGTGAGTTGAGTTGTGCATGTTTAATTTCATGCTTTTTCTTGGAGTTTGATTGTGTAGTGGGGCCCCTGTGTTTGTATGTATAGGTGTTGAAGTCAAAGACTTGCTTTCCAAAATGCAACATAGCCATTTGGAATACTGGTGCCAAATGTCTAGAGTCTTAAGACTCCAGAGAGTAAATCACAGCAGAAAAGCTGACTCTCGAGGAAAATTCTTGCCAAAAAGTGACGAAGAATGGCGTTATGGCGTTTTGGAGGGAAACTCTTTGATTTGATGTTGAAATCAAGTTCATTAGTGCACAGACTAACCCTCTCTTTTTTTCTTTTGCAGTCTTTTTTCTTTCTTCCCTGTCTCTTGTCCGAGTGTACTTGCAGGTATTGACGACGGCCGGGACGGGATGTTCTCTGAGGGTCCGCTGTTGGGGTTTTGTGAGTTGAGTTGTGCATGTTTAATTTCATGCTTTTTCTTGGAGTTTGATTGTGTAGTGGGGCCCCTGTGTTTGTATGTATAGGTGTTGAAGTCAAAGACTTGCTTTCCAAAATGCAACATAGCCATTTGGAATACTGGTGCCAAATGTCTAGAGTCTTAAGACTCCAGAGAGTAAATCACAGCAGAAAAGCTGACTCTCGAGGAAAATTCTTGCCAAAAAGTGACGAAGAATGGCGTTATGGCGTTTTGGAGGGAAACTCTTTGATTTGATGTTGAAATCAAGTTCATTAGTGCACAGACTAACCCTCTCTTTTTTTCTTTTGCAGTCTTTTTTCTTTCTTCCCTGTCTCTTGTCCGAGTGTACTTGCAGGTATTGACGACGGCCGGGACGGGATGTTCTCTGAGGGTCCGCTGTTGGGGTTTTGTGAGTTGAGTTGTGCATGTTTAATTTCATGCTTTTTCTTGGAGTTTGATTGTGTAGTGGGGCCCCTGTGTTTGTATGTATAGGTGTTGAAGTCAAAGACTTGCTTTCCAAAATGCAACATAGCCATTTGGAATACTGGTGCCAAATGTCTAGAGTCTTAAGACTCCAGAGAGTAAATCACAGCAGAAAAGCTGACTCTCGAGGAAAATTCTTCCCAAAAAGTGACGAAGAATGGCGTTATGGCGTTTTGGAGGGAAACTCTTTGATTTGATGTTGAAATCAAGTTCATTAGTGCACAGACTAACCCTCTCTTTTTTTCTTTTGCAGTCTTTTTTCTTTCTTCCCTGTCTCTTGTCCGAGTGTACTTGCAGGTATTGACGACGGCCGGGACGGGATGTTCTCTGAGGGTCCGCTGTTGGGGTTTTGTGAGTTGAGTTGTGCATGTTTAATTTCATGCTTTTTCTTGGAGTTTGATTGTGTAGTGGGGCCCCTGTGTTTGTATGTATAGGTGTTGAAGTCAAAGACTTGCTTTCCAAAATGCAACATAGCCATTTGGAATACTGGTGCCAAATGTCTAGAGTCTTAAGACTCCAGAGAGTAAATCACAGCAGAAAAGCTGACTCTCGAGGAAAATTCTTGCCAAAAAGTGACGAAGAATGGCGTTATGGCGTTTTGGAGGGAAACTCTTTGATTTGATGTTGAAATCAAGTTCATTAGTGCACAGACTAACCCTCTCTTTTTTTCTTTTGCAGTCTTTTTTCTTTCTTCCCTGTCTCTTGTCCGAGTGTACTTGCAGGTATTGACGACGGCCGGGACGGGATGTTCTCTGAGGGTCCGCTGTTGGGGTTTTGTGAGTTGAGTTGTGCATGTTTAATTTCATGCTTTTTCTTGGAGTTTGATTGTGTAGTGGGGCCCCTGTGTTTGTATGTATAGGTGTTGAAGTCAAAGACTTGCTTTCCAAAATGCAACATAGCCATTTGGAATACTGGTGCCAAATGTCTAGAGTCTTAAGACTCCAGAGAGTAAATCACAGCAGAAAAGCTGACTCTCGAGGAAAATTCTTGCCAAAAAGTGACGAAGAATGGCGTTATGGCGTTTTGGAGGGAAACTCTTTGATTTGATGTTGAAATCAAGTTCATTAGTGCACAGACTAACCCTCTCTTTTTTTCTTTTGCAGTCTTTTTTCTTTCTTCCCTGTCTCTTGTCCGAGTGTACTTGCAGGTATTGACGACGGCCGGGACGGGATGTTCTCTGAGGGTCCGCTGTTGGGGTTTTGTGAGTTGAGTTGTGCATGTTTAATTTCATGCTTTTTCTTGGAGTTTTATTGTGTAGTGGGGCCCCTGTGTTTGTATGTATAGGTGTTGAAGTCAAAGACTTGCTTTCCAAAATGCAACATAGCCATTTGGAATACTGGTGCCAAATGTCTAGAGTCTTAAGACTCCAGAGAGTAAATCACAGCAGAAAAGCTGACTCTCGAGGAAAATTCTTGCCAAAAAGTGACGAAGAATGGCGTTATGGCGTTTTGGAGGGAAACTCTTTGATTTGATGTTGAAATCAAGTTCATTAGTGCACAGACTAACCCTCTCTTTTTTTCTTTTGCAGTCTTTTTTCTTTCTTCCCTGTCTCTTGTCCGAGTGTACTTGCAGGTATTGACGACGGCCGGGACGGGATGTTCTCTGAGGGTCCGCTGTTGGGGTTTTGTGAGTTGAGTTGTGTAAATCACAGCAGAAAAGCTGACTCTCGAGGAAAATTGCTTCCAAAATGTGACGAAGATGGCGTTATGTCGTTTTGGAGGTAAACTCTTTGATTTGATGTTGAAATCAAGTTCATTATTGCACAGACTAACCCTGGCTTTTTTTTTTTAGCATTTTTTTTTTTTTTTTGCAGTTTTTTTTTTTTCTTCCCTGTCTCTTGTCCGAGTGTACTTGCAGGTATTGACGACGGCCGGGACGGGATGTTCTCTGAGGGTCCGCTGTTGGGGTTTTGTGAGTTGAGTTGTGCATGTTTAATTTCATGCTTTTTCTTGGAGTTTTATTGTGTAGTGGGGCCCCTGTGTTTGTATGTATAGGTGTTGAAGTCAAAGACTTGCTTTCCAAAATGCAACATAGCCATTTGTAGACAATTCAACATTGTGCATAATAAAATATACATGTATGATCAAGTACCGGTAGCTTTTTTTTGATAAAATCAATCAGTTTGTTTTTATAATACGTTTAGCTGCCTCATTGTTATGGCCTAATTTCATCCTCATTATCAGGTGAAATCCATTGCTTCAAATTGTATACAACCTCAATCTGCTGAAATGTTCTTTTTGTGGCATTTGTTCATGGAGGGTTAATCACTGGCTAAATCTTGCAAAATGCAAGAGTGACAATTTACGCAAACTGTAGCATCAAGAATTATATACATGTCTTAAATTTTTAGATGTAATTTGAGGTAATGACAAATTGTAATACATGAACTTGAATTTGATACTGATCAAATAGAGAAATGAAGGTACTTGTGTTGAACTTACTACAGTTTCAATGATTAGGGTAATTTGTTTTTTGTCAAGGTTGTCTTTCAAACAGAAATCGTGTGCAATATCCAAGGTAATTTTAAATACTCATGCAAGTATGATGCATTTGTTTTTGTAGGTAAAGTTCATCTCTGACGATTATACTGAAGAGATGTACATAAAGCAGAAGATGCAGTGAGTTCATTGATGGTAAGTGAAAAATGTCACAAAAAGAACTGTGAAATAATGGTACCTGATGGATTATAACTTAGTGTAATCTGAAAGATGTTTCTTACATCAGCATACCCAAAATAATACCTAAAGGAGGAAAGATGAGGAAAGATGGTTTGTCAGACAGGTACATTTTGGAATGCCGCTGGATGACGTTTACATAAATATTTATCGTAGAGAGCCAACAAACAAGATAACTGGAACTTATGTGGATGGAGCAACCGAGCTGACTGAACTTCAGAGATGCTATGGGTCATCAACACCACCATTCTTCAAACCTTTAAAAAATCCTAGGACAACAACCATCTTGCCGGATCATTCTCGCCCGGAGGGGACAACATGTCCTGAGCGCAATTGACCTTGCCAGGGTCAGGTCACGACCTGTGATGCCACCCAGGTCATACCAGAGGGAAGAGGTCATCAAAGCAACGTACGAAGTAGGGGTCAAGGTGTAATTCCCTATGTGACCTATTTGGCACGTGGATCCAGCAGCTTTGGACGCTTCTAGTTTTTCCAACCATTTTACGGTTTCTGTCCCCCACAGATGGGAAGACAGTGTTTGCTGACAAAAAAAGTTGAGAGCTGTACATGTGTACGTTCTTACGTGGGAGTATTTTGACACCCTCTTTAATTAGTGCCAGTTGCAATATTCCAGATTCGGCAATCGATTGCATTGTAGAACAGCTAGTAAAAACTCAACTGGATATTGAGATGCAAACGACCCAAGTAAAGTCTGCCTCACATGGACTTCTGCCTGAAAAAAGACAGAAGTGCTGCACTTCTTCACACATGCGCCTTGAAAAGAGCCACCCCTGCGTATCTCAATTGACAGAATGGAGTTGGTATGCAGATGAACAGTTTGGCTCTTTTGTAGCGGTAATGCTTGACAGAGATGTGGACAGTAAACTGATCAAAGGAAACTCTGCTTGTGGCAGTGTTTACAAACTTGTCTTAACCAAGAACATAAAGAAATATAGCAATACATGAGCATGTACTGTCCAAAGCTAGTCTTGCGTCTTGTCTATATGGTGCGGATACATACTGGGTTGTCAGCCTTTGATACCTGCTGCTCCTTTAGTGTGTTTCCATTACTGTTGCTTCTACACTAATGTGGACACAAACTGGACTGATTTCATCCGGGGCAGTAGAGGTCTTTAGTATGTTGCATGTTGAATTGAGAAAGATGTGTCTCCACGTTTCAGGATCATAACCTACTAAAGATTGTTCAGTACACAGAACTATGTACTTATGATCTTGACAGAGGAGCACTGTGGAAGAGATATGCAGACATCTTAAAAAATCTCTCATCACTTGCTGCATCAACCACTACTAGTGTGGAAGGCAAGCTGCTGATGATTGTGTTAGCTGGAGATTGGCCTTGTCAACCAGGCCCCCTACTTCAAAGGCAGCCTCAAGCATTGGCACATAATTGGAGAAGCAGCAGATGTTAGAGAAACTGTGATGTTTCAGCACTGTTTAGCATAGGCTGTATTAGCTACCATACTACCTAAGTGCCTTTCATGCAGACCTCCAGCTGACTCAGTGCTTGTGTACAGTCATCACCAACAAAGATGATATGATGGATGTGACTTGCAATAGACTGAACTTCTGATTCGTTTGTACAGGTTTCTGTGCTTGGCCACGTTACAGTGCCGTCATCCAGCCTTCAAGCATGGTTCAGGTGAGTGTAACTGTTGAATATTTTACTTAGATTGTATATTTGTAATGTAAGGAGCATCGTTTTGTCAGTTGTAAACAAAACCATTGAACTGAATCGAACTAAAATTTCACACAAGAAAGAACAATACACATGTATGCTTGTGATCATCAACAGCTGGTATAACATTGAATGTGAGATATTTGATATATTATGAGACATGTTATGTATCTTTCCAGAGGGAGTTTTGGGGGACACACTTTATTTTTTTTTGTGGAACACCCTTGTGATGGATCCTCATGCATGTCATTCTCTTATCTGATTGTTTGTAGAAGCCATGAACCACAAATCAGCATGTTTCCTTCCAGTTTCCAATGAGCACTCTGACAGCATCACTTAGCATGCCAGTATTCAACATTGTGCAGGTGAGACAGATTGTCTGATGTTCTGGATTTTGGCATAATTATTATTATTATTTTTTTTAAAATTTTTGTTCTTAAAAAAATAAAATGAACTGAATTGTGTTTGGTTTGGATCATCTTCCCGGTGAGAATTTCTACTCTGGGGCTTGTGTGCAGACGCTGATTCCCATGCTATAAGGACTTGGGGCTTTCTGATGTTAATTGTGATCAACATAATGTGTCGCCTCACCTATACTTTTGCGAAGTGCTTAACTCAGCTGCGATGTGTTACACATCATCTCGCACTTTTGTGAAATAAATTTCATGCAACCAGACTAATATGTCAGACAGGAACGTGCATTGTAGTAAATATTTGTGTGCATTCCAAAGATAAGTATCATTAAAAACAACTGTGCAATTGCATTATGCATCTAGCATGTCTAGGCAAAATTTCTTTGCAATAGCAATTTTCAAGCTAGAAATTTGTGATCATTTCTCTGATTACTGAAAATTTATATATGTACAACTTCGAAATACTTGCCAATTATGGCATAGGATTTGATGAAGAAGTAATCAATAAATCAATTAATTCTGTGTAGATCATCTCTGTAAAGATGGCTGTGTTGCTTCAGTTGCCACATCTCTACGTATGTTCTTCCTGTTAGCAAAGGCACACTGTGACAGCATCCACTTTCTACATGCTAATACATGCACAGTATTGTTCAGGTGAGTAGATATTTAACTGACAATCTGTTGTGATTGTCACATTAAATGTTGCATGATTGCGGATGTAAAAGTTAAAAACTGCCTGAATAAGAATAACGGTTATAAAAGCTTTTACGCAAAAAAATGTATAAATTTATACTTCAGTGTGAAAAAGCTTCCACAAGTAAAAATATCCTGCCAAATGAAAATAGCAATTCTTGGTGTTAAAACACAAGTACATGTAGTCATTAAAGGGAATATACAACGTTTGCTTTTTCTGTAATTTTGTTGTACTGACTTTTTTTAAGTTTTGTGTTCGTAGATGCTGGAAAAACCAAGAAAAACAATCATGACCTTGTAAGCTGGTTCCCTGACCCCACTGAAATTGAATGGTGACAGTCAGGCTAGCTTGTAGCCATTCATGGGTTGTATCATTGATTGCAAAGAAAATGTGGACTGACTAAATACGGTAAATTTGGGACAGTATGTGAAAAGAGTCAGATTTTCCAAAGGCTGGTCGATCAATTAGTGTTGGAAATTGTACAGAAATACCACTTATCTTAAAAATGATGGCACACAAGGTAACATGATTTTATAGGATGCTTTAGACTGTCATTTACCAACAGTCCAGTAAGGTATTACATAATAATTTGGTAGTTTTGTTTTGTGATGTATGCAAATGTTGTATTTTCCTGATTTTTAAAAAGGTTATAATGTTTGTACTTTGGACAACGATTGCACTTGGCATGTGGAGTCTGACATAAAAAGGACCTGAATACATTTCTAGAAATAATATTTACACTTTCAGTAAAATGCAACTTGAAGTGATCGTGTCCAATAGTTGCTGAGCAGTTTGCAAAGATTTGTTGTGCCAAAAATTTACCATGCATAATTTGTGTAGAGTGCTGTTTATGATCAAGCATTTCATGTTTTGTTTTATTCAGGGAAAGACATATGCAAACCTATCAGCTTCCAAAGTCGGCAACATCCTGCTGTCACTACAGTCTCAGCACCTACCAGCTCCCACTCTGTCAGCAACATCCTGCTGTCACATGTCCAGCTACCGGTACTTGAAGTTACTGTGTGCTTGTACATTCTCAGCACCTACTAGCTCTCACTCTGTCGGCAACATCCTGCTGTCACATGTCCAGCTATTGGTACTCGGAGTTACTATTTGCTTGTACTTTCTCAGCACCTACCAGCTCCCACTCTGTCAGCAACATCCTGTCCAGCTACCGGCACTTGGAGTTATAGTGTGCTTGTACATTCTCAGCACCTACTAGCTCCCACTCTGTCAACAACATCCTGCTGTCACACCTCCAGATATGTGGAGTTATTGTGCTTTTACAGTCTCAGCCAGTATTGGATTGCAAGTTGTCTTATGCTGCTACAACCTACACATTTAGCATTCTCTTGAACCTTGAGGAACCACCATATGAACAAAGAGACAGTCTCTGAAACACTCATAATAAACCTGTCACGGTGGTTTGTTGAACATTCGTATTATTTGGAGGACTTGCAATTAGCTCATATAGTCAACTAGCTATTCCAGTCCTCTGGAATTTGCTTGAGGTTATTCTATACTAGTAGCAAGCCTTTTTTGTGCACGGTCAAGAGTAGATCGAGAAAGCAGTTGTTTTTAAGGGCAAAACAATTGTTCTTGTTCCTTGAAAAAGTTGGTCAAAACATTTTCCCAACCATTTTTTTATTTAAACAGTAAGATAAAGGGCAACGAGGACTGTTTAATGCCATTTCTACATGGTAGAAAAACAATTCAATGCTAATTTTTATCCAAGATATTCAAAGTTTTGGTGTTATTGGCAAAGAGAGTACCCGCAAGAGTGGTTGTGACATGTACATGCAAAACTGTTTGCAATGATTATGCTATTATTATGATAAAAATGGTGCAAAGTACGGCGTTAAAATGGGCTCTCTCCTTGTACATAGCACAATACATAAGTGATTGTGATCATAAATGTATTGAATTACATAAAATACAATTGTGGATAAATATTTGGTAATTTGGGGGAGGGGGTGAGTGTAGGGGGGGGGAAGCATATTAATGCCGGTGTCACATGAAAATCCGACTCCTATGAAAATCGGACCCCTTTTCCCTATTATTGGTTAATCCCTCTCACGTGACCGGTCACTTTCCTAATTACCATACTTACGCATGCGCGGTATTACCAATGAGTCCGAATTTCATAGAAACGTAAATTCACGCTACACCGGTGCATACTTTGTCTGATTGCTATGAAAATGTGATATTATCAAGCATTGGCTGATTCATGTTCGCACCAAGTATGCCAGTGTCATGGTCTCACTTATCAGGTGTGCGCACTTCTCCAAAAGGGACATTTAACTTCAATACGCACGTGCAAAATTGTGCTGCGGCTGTACATTATCGCCAACCTTATTGCGTGTGCTCACTGCACTGTGTTTGTGAAGAAGTGAGCGCATTCTAAGTAAGACTGTGACACTGGCTAAGCTGTGAATTGCTACCGAGATAATTGCCTACTTTTGCGTCATTTCGTCTATGTTAATTTAAGTATTTATTTACAATATCATTTATAGATTAAACTCATTAAAGAGACACTGCAGCCTGGCAAATGCGCAATTGGGCTACAAAATGCATTTTGAGTCGAATGGTGTAAAGTGCTTGGGATATAAACAACTACACAAACATCCATTGAAAATCACCTGGGGGGGGGGGCACTTTTGCAACCCCCAAAATATGTGTGTTCAGTGCTGGTTGAGATTCCAGCTGTAAACGTTTCACCCTCTGCGCACATCAACCGGATGTTTCAAGCAGGATATCGTAAACAATGCAAAACATGACATTTTCAAGGATTTCAGGGAACAATAATTTATGGAATTTTGAGGAAACATTTTTGCTATTTTGTTTGGTAGAATACTATTGTTTTATATTAAAGAAAATGCTTTCATACAAATAAAAAAATTATACAAATAAAAATGTGTTGTGTTTTTTAATCACAGATAGGATATGGTTATATCACATTTTAACCCATTAAAGTCCATCGCCATTTTATAATCTGCGTTGTTTCATAAAAAAAAAAATTGTGTATGATGTTTCATAGCATCTTTTAAAACTCGTCATTTAACCCCAAAAAAATTGAAAAGAAAATAAAAGATGATGAAATACGCTTTAATTTGATGTGTGTCTTGAACACTTGGAGAGTGAGTATTTTTCCGAATTTCTGAAGTGTGAGCATTTACCATTGGGGTCTATAAAAGTTTATTTACTGGTCTGCTAACTTTAAGCCACGTAAGTTTTGCGCACCGCGTAAACAACGTTCGTCTTACTCTATTGTTAAGTTTAAGGACTCGTTCAGTTTGAGAATACACTGTTCTAGTTTTCGGACCCAAAACCTCCAGCCAAACACGACGCAAATAAAAAAAACGGCGGTGATATCTGCATGTACAGCTTCATGTATGTATTACGCAGACAATTTATTCAGCCACAAGAGGGCGTCCTTACATTTCACAATGCAGGTTCTTTAAAGATTCTCATTTTCAAGTTAAGCACACCTCGGTTTAACCACAGGCTGTGGTTTCATTGTGTGGAAATCATTTTGAAGTTTAAAGTGTATTTCATTGGAAAACAATGCTGAAAGTTCAAAAATCAAAAAAAAAATCAAAAAAATTACATTCAATGAATTTCAGATTATAAGGAAGCATGAACATAAAATCTGTCAAAGTTAGCCGAAAATCGGCTAAAACGGTCACTGTGGACAGGATTAGACCTCGGCAACACGTGCGCTGCATGCGGCCGGGCTGACTTACATACGATGTATGTGCGTACATATATGTACAACGTACGTGCATGTCATATACACATCGTGGAAGTCCTGTGCATGTTTTAAAGCTCTCTACCGCAACTTGCGCAAGGGTATTTTTAGCCGACGTCGCGTCAACTGTGTGAACAATTTGACAAGCTGGGAACTTGGCACTGTTGAGGCAAATGTTTACCCTATCATTTAATAGGAAATTCAAGATTATATCTGTACGGATTGACTTGTTAGCAATTTTTGAAAAAGGAAAGTTCTTTTCAACGGAACTTCCGGTCTGATGACGTCATACGCCTAAAACTTTGCACACGTCTTAAGTGGGTCAAGATCATCATATACACCAATTTTTAGGCGATTCCAGCAACTTTCGCCACAGACATCTATTCAAAATACATTTTTGAAAATGTTCAACCTGTCGCTAGAGGACGATCAAAGATTGCATGACGTCATCTGTAGATGAATTGAAGAATACGCTCAGCCAAGAGACTAACACCGTTAAAAGCAAGTTCATATCTATTACCACTTTTAAATAATAAGCCACTTCCGGTTTTGGCCTTTTTCGACAGGAAGCAAGGGTCACGTGATTTCACGCACACTAAATGAAATAAAGACCTCAACCTACTCTACCACCTGCCGGCAACACAATGCTGCGGACGCATACGGTTGATTTCTTATGTATTTTTAAATATTAAAAGTGTCACAATTTAATTGCCCATTAATAAGCACCGGATGACGTCATCATGACGTCATCATTACACAATGTTGTTTGAGTTAGGGTCTTTCCTTGGACAAAGATTGGTGTAAATGAATTACTGGCAAAGAGTCGAAAATGCCCTTTGAAAATCGACAATTTCTTTTTAATTTCTGTGTACAAAGTCTATGGTAAAAATTAAATATTCAAAAATCTACAATAAATTAGTCGATGACGTCACCATGACGTCAATCTTCGGGACACATCTTTGCTATAGGGACTATGCTTATGCTAAGTTTGAATGATATATGGCAAAAATTAATGCCAAAAGTGGCACTGAGGAAAAACATGCACAAAGTCAATGGCATTTGAAGTGGAACAAGAAGAAAGGCTTTTCCGCAACTTTGCGGAAAAGCCAAAAAAAAAAATGAGAACAAAAACAAAGGCTTTTTCGCAAATTTGCGAAAAAGCCAAAAATCTTAACGAAAACAAGAGCTGTTTCGGTGTGTACACCGAAACAGCTAAAAACTTAAGAAAAGGTACAGTAAGGTTTTGATTTTCTCAGATGGCCGGCAGTGGTGTAGTGAGATCCAATGCTCGACTCTTCACCGGTGCTCTTTTCAGTGTCTCAGGAAGGTCGTATCCTCTCAAAAATAAAGATGGGTGAAGTTCATCAGGATATGGCTGGCCGTATTTAAAGTGGTTGCTGCAGACTGTAGTCGATGATTTTACTTTGAAATCCTGCCGTTGGGTCAGTTGAGTCCAGAGAGGAAAGTGTTTCTTATCCGTGCATGAGTGGAATCTGAGTGTGTTTACATGCTCTTTGATGACATCTATCAAGAGAAGGGGAAACGTAAGATAGAGATATTTATTGTTTGATGACGGAGAAAAATAAACCACATAAGACTTCGCAATTATTTTCATGAGTAAAACAATGAAGTAGGCTATCTAGCTAAGCCTACTACAGTACTAGCTGACTAGGACAAATATGTACATGTGTACATGTTTATTTTTTTCACATTTTCGTGAACAGAATATAAATAAACAATCATGAAATTGTCTGTAAAAGTCACACATCGTTCGCTGACAGAAGTAACAATTAAACCATTATAAAAGCCACATATTTGTCCGATAAGAAAAGAGTCATAAAAGGGAGCTTTTGAGGGGCACAGAAACTTAAATGCATTGGCCGACACAGTCATGACAGTGCAGAGTGTCCCGTGTTTCCCCGCTCGCGTGCCGGTCGTCGGCACATCGCGATTGCGTCGGGTCGGAACTGCGCGCTACTACTTTTTGTCGTGAGAACATTTTTTTTCTGTACATCAAAGTAAAGTAAAAATTCAAAGTAAAAATTTCGCTGCTCATTTTACTCATGAGTAGATGAGCAATGACTCACGAGTAAATGAGCAATGAAACTGAGTAGATGAGCAGTGACTCATGAGTAGATGAGCAGTGACTCACGAGTAAATGAGCAATGAATTGAGCAGATGATTCATACCTTTCAAAGCTTAACCTTCAAAACTGCAACATGAATGTTATTTCTGCAGTCAAACCTTATGCTTGTCACATGTGTGACAAAAGCTTCGGACGGAGATATAACCTACAGAGGCATGCAGAAAATGTACATGCTGTAGATGATTCTGAAACAGATGAAGTTGAGGAGGATCATTCTGAACCTGATTGGCAAAGCCGTAGATTTGAAGATCCTAATATGGAAAACTATGAAACTGAATCTACGTATGATGAAGACGAAGATCTTGAGGACGATGATTCGGAATCCGAAACGGAGGTGGAAGATGACGAATTATCTGATGAAGACGAGTCTAGTTCTGATTTGGAAGACAACACCGCATATCGAGACTGGTTGAAAGAGTCCATAGAAGCCACCCAGGAGATGTGGAGTGACAAAATTTAATATGAAAAGTACATTAACGAGGATATGAGTAAAGATCAGGCCAAGGAAAAGGCCAACAGGAAGACCATGTGGGCAGTCGAGCGAATCTTTTTCAACAAATACAAGTATTTTTTGTTAAGTTACCTATATCTGAAAGACAGTGGCACCCATCAAGAAATTGTGGAAGATATCGAACGAAAATTGATTACGGGCATGAAATAAACACTGCTCTAGATACCGTAACACTTTTGACGGATTGTTCCAACAAGATGAGGATGAAGAAAACGATGAAGACAGTGATGATTAAAGACTAGTAGTTTCAAAAAGATTACTCATTTTTTTAAATAATCTAGCAGTGTCTTATAGGAAAAAAAATAGTATTTGAAATAGTCTCCCCTTATCACTCTTATACAGTAATTCCTTATGGCTTAGAAGAAGAGCATGCCCATGCATGAAGATTTAAACTTGTGTCCACTGGGTTCTATATACGATGTGGCTTTAAATAGACAGTGTATTGTAAACCGGTATATGTCAGGTACAAAAGACAATATTATTAGAAACAGGTCTGAAATTATAAAATGGGCAGTTTATGATGACTGCATAATATTAGTGCACGTATATAAAGTTATATGCATGATAATGATAAATAAATTCTCAAATAATCCTTGAAAATCATCAGTGTGAAATGTTTTCCTTTTATTTATCTTAATACCCATTCCTTATTATTTGCTTTATTTGTTGACTACCTGGCCCCATACGTCATCCCTCATCAACAGTACAACGCTCCACGTGCACTAAACTGACCAGCAAATAAGTGCAATGACATCATAATTATGCGATGGCCCCCGAATCCATTCATGGCTTGGATATGTTCACAATGCAGGTTGTTATTGAAGCGATTATATAACGGTGACGATAATCCTTTTATCAGCTTCCCATGACTGAGTCGTCAACTCAGTGGTCAGATTCTTCATAATTCAATACTCTGCTCAAAATTGTTCCTCGGTACCGCTAAATCTCAAGCTCAGCATCGACGCACAGCGAGGCATATACATGTGATTGTATCTAACGTTCTCTTAGCAATGCGGCCACAAACAACGATTCCATACGGGGAGATTTTAAAAACACCGCGGACAATGCACATGACCGGACTTGTCCGGTTGTTTGTCATCATTCGATGAGTCAGCACTATGACGTCACTGGATTCCCCCATTCGAGTACAAAGGCTATTATGATAGAGTGGAAACAGGCACGAGTATGATATGCGGCTTGAAAAATCCCTTCAATTCAGATGTATATAGGGCTTTTTACTGTACTATACGTAAGTTTATGTTATGTATTTGTCCCTATGTACATCGTATTGTTTTCACTGCTGTGATACGTATAATATTCGATACCGTAATAATGGTACGCGCCTTTATTATTTAAATTTACGCAAGCCCCTCCGCCCGTCACACTCCCCCGTGGTGAATGGTAGATTCCCGTTGCTCATTTTATGCTAATGAGGGTCACGTGGGGCCAAATCCGGACTTCTGATTGGTCGAGAGTCCGTCAAAAATGGGGAAAATATCCTGGTTAGACGGGCTTCACTACTGATGTCACCTGGGCGGTGTCATTTTTACTTCCCGGATGCGCAGCACAATCGGCCAATGATGTGGTCCAATTTGATCATGAACATTTATGAGGTGTAGTGATACATATTATGACTTGTGCCTGACAAGAAGTTGCCAGTCAAGTTGATCAAAAGTCAAACAGTCTGAATGTTATGGTCTGGAATACTTACAATTCAAATAATGTGGATTAGCAAGACACTGGACGAACTCAAGCTCCACTTGGAATCTGTTTTTTTTTCGGCATCTAGGCCCTCTAGTTTAAACAAAAAAGACAGAAGTTTTTTGTTAGTTTAGTAGTTCACAATGACATCATGGGGGATGTCTTGGATGTCTACACGCCCATGCCTAGGAACTGTTGACACCACCTAATAATGTAGTGCACTTGGATTGTTTACAAGCAGCACCTTGCTTGAGCAAAATTGTTTCCCAAATTCCATGGAAATGAAATTTCTGCAAGTTTGAAATATCCCTGTTCCTAATTCTAGCTTCTGCTGACAATTATCAAATATTCTTTTTAAATCCACTGTGAACCATTTTAGATTCATGACATGGGGAGGCTCCAGTGTTCGACCGTGAGTGCTCAATTTTACTCACTCACTCTTAAGCCAGCAAAATTCTCCAAAGTTTTTGATGTGGCCAAAAAAAGGTCCTCAGTATTTCACCAACCCAGTTGGAAGACTCAAGTCAATTTTTAAAGGAGACTTTTCTTCAATATTTTTCACAATCTATTTTCTTGAATTGCATGTTTTGAATGCCTTAAGTTTGGGGCTCTCATACACCACTATTGGGAGTTTCAAATTTTCGGACTAGGGAGGATGAGCCTAGTAAGCTGGAAATTTCAAGCCAACTTGTTAGTCCTGTTACTTACTTAAACCCTAAAGATTCACACATAAAGCAAAATTTAGAGAAAAGGAGTAGGGAAAAGAGTTCCATACCTGGACATCACTTGACACCCTGTGCACAAACCCTACTAGTATGATACTGGTCTGAAAACAATTCTAAGGTTTACTCAGTAAATCAAATGCTTCAATATTTTCCCTGCTAAATTTGACTTTTTAGGACATGTTATCGCTTTCTGATGGCTGATAGGTGGGCTGGAGTAATCGTATCTTTAGGACTTCGTTCCTATATACAGCTAACTAAATGACACTCAAAAGTGACATTTTGATATTTCTTGACACATATGAACAGCTGGTAATGACACCTTCTTGAATATTGACAGGTTTAATTTCGTGTGAAGAGGGCAGGACTTTGATTTTTGAGGGAAATTATGGGGGAAAAGACAACGACAACAACCAGAAAACAGGCTCAAGATGGCAACTTTGAAAGCTAGATGCAATAACAGCTAAACGCAATTCGGGCGATTCACAATGCAGTGCACCACCAAGAGTTTGCCACGGAGAGTTCGTTTTTCAAGTTTATGGTCGACAAAACATGGCCCATTTGAACGAGTGTCAGTAGAAACTTGAGCTAATTTGTTAAAGATTGGGGCAAAGCATTCTGCCGCCTTACAAAAAACTCCACATTGATAAAACAAAAAGAAAAAGGCAAACAGATACTTGAATCATATGCTTATGAACTTTCTGGCCGGAAAAACTAACAATTTCAAATGTCCCGCATTGCGCATTTGTCGACCATCTCCCACAATGCACTAGGAAAAATTATTTCTCCATGGCAAACTCTTGGTGGCGCACTGCATTGTGAATCGCCCGAATTAAAAGCTCGATGCTGATTGGATGATAACAAAAACTTTTTCTAGGTTTTTCTATCAGCCAATCAGCATCAGGCTTTCATTGTGTCAGGCTTTCATGCGTACTGGGAGAACTACAACGTGCAGGTCTCACGTCTCTGACGGCAAAAAGAGGTAGGAAAGTCACATTTTCTTTGAAAGTGCATTTCAAATTACAACAAACATGAGCTAATCTGAAGAAAAAAAACTGCTTTAGCAATCACACCCAGGCTACACTGCGGCGGCACAAGTGATTTAACAGATGGTCATGTTGACCAGTGATTGTGCGTACAATAGCCTGGTCTGCCCCACGCGAAAACACGCTGCGCTTTATCGGTCAGCGGCAAAGTGCGACATTCTCGTCAAGCACTACTGGCACTTTTAACTTTCGAAGATAACGAAGGAAATACTTTTGATTCTCGATATGGAAAGATTCCCATAATGGAAAGATTTCCATATACGAAGTTCACTCAACACTCTGTGTACAAACCCTATGAGAGTGGACTGAAAAATTGTAAGTGTTTTCTAAGAAAATGCTTGTATTTTCTCACTGCTCAAATTGACTTTGATGACATGAAATTGCTATCTGGGGGCTTGTTAGTCAATACAGAGGAAAATTAGTGAACTTCGCATATTTTAATCTTGCCCCCATAATTTCCAGATTCATTTGCACACGTTTGCGTATCAAAAATTTCAACATAAAATTTCACAAAAATTAGACATCTGAAAAAGGCAGCACTTTTAGATTAGCTTATAAAGAGGGTGTCCGTGAGTATCTTCTAAAGCAAAAAAACCCTACAAACTAAGCCTAAATGTGAAAATCAAAATTTGACAAAGTTCGACACGTTTTTTGACATGTGGAAGTGTGGCCTTTGTTTACGGAGGTAAATTGGCCACATTTAGGCCTATGGGGCTAGCCCGTGGTGAGCGTTCGCGTAATACGCGAAGCATTTTGCCCACAGACACAATAGCAAATGTTGTTACAACTCGACTCGGGACAAGTCGACCGTTGAGACAGCTTGACTTAATGGAAATGTATACACGTGGAGCGGGACAAGTTGCATGGCAGAACCAATCCCGGGTGCGGCACGGGCATATACTCGATGCACAGAGGGCGCTCCAATCCGGTGGCCGTCGCGTCGGGCCGGCGCGCCCTGCCCGCGAGGACCGGGCCCGGCCCAGCACGCAGGTACGGCAAGTGGGCGCACAGGCCCAGCACAAACGATGTCACCGTGCACGGTACGGCCACGTTGACCGACTGGGGATGAGATAAGTGGGCGCACAGGGCTGGCTAAAACGATGTCACCGACTCACCGTGCATGGTAGGCCTACGGACAAGTTGACCGGCAAATGGGCGCACAGGCCCGGCAAAAACGATGCCACCATGCACAGTACAGTACGGCCACGTTGACCGGGGTTGCGCGCACAGGCCTGGAAAAAAACGAACGATGTGCACGGACAACATGCTGCGCTATATCAGCTCTGTTATATGCTACCAAAAAAACCAAACTTTTGTGTCATCACTCCCAAACGGCGATCAGCCGCCGTCAAAATCCCCGGTACTATCCCCAAAACTAGGCCCCAAAACATGCAAGGCGACTTGTCACAACGGTCGACTTGTCTTTCCATTTATCGCACATACGGTCGAGTTGTCTCAACGGTCGAGTTGTCTCAACGGTCGACTTGTCTGACCCCTGAATGGAGTGGCCCTGTATTGTTGTGCCGGCAAGGTGCCGAGTTGGCAAGGTGCAGAAGTGATCGGTTTAATACCGACTCAACCTCGTCCCCAGTGCTTACTTTATTTTAAACGTTGTTTCAATAGTAAACCCTGTATAGGAAACTTCCTTCCTGCATCCTGATTCGATACCGCAATTGGCTAGAAATGGATTTATATCGTGTACTTGGTGTTGTTATTCACAACGTGCAGGACGTGTTTTCGCGATCATTCGTCCACGCCTTCTCGAAAATATTCTTTTCCTTTCCAGTTTGTTAATATTAATGTGGCGATTCATAATAATTTGAAAATCATCAAAACGTATTTTGTCACCCCGTGCTTAGGCACGCCATACGGTTTGGATGCAAATGTATACATTGCGTGGCAAATGTATACATTGGGGCCTATATGACACAGCGCACAAAAGCCAGTGCATGCTGCAGATGCAGGGAGATAACGCTGTTTTGGCGTACTATTATTGAAGTGCAAGACGATAACTTTTCTTTTGGCTGAGCCTGGCATAGCCAGACATACCTAGTCTGCGACGTGTAGACCAGTTCGAGGGCTTTCTCTCCAAGCTGTGAGCTGTGCTGTTTTGTGTATCCTTAAATAACGGAAGCCAAAGGCACTGGGGTAGGTTTATCTGTATAATTTATTATTTAATAATATTTATAAATCAGACCGATTACTTTGTTAGAAACTTAATTGCCACCTCACTTATTGTATTTTTCAGGGTTTTTAATTCTACTGAAAGAAGTCTTGTCTTCTTCGGGATAATAAAGCTAGATAACAGATAGATCTGAAGCTTGTCATTTGTCATGTCATCTGTTGAATAAAACAACGGCGAGGCCTGCCGACGAGGCGACCCTTGATATGTGGCTTTCCAGCTACTACAGAATGGCGACGAGGATGGGATGACATGCCGTTTTCCACTTCCAGACAAGACCCCTAGTGTCAAATTTAGTTCGAACTTATCATTATAGGGCTGTATCAAAAATTTGTTTATTATAAAATTTGTTTTAAGAGTTTAAACAAACTTGCGATTATTTGAAGAAGCTTTAAGCTTTGTTCAAGTTTCAATTTCAGCCCGTCGTGCAAGTTGGCACATGGTTTGGAGCTACATGTAGAATATTATGTCGTGTAATTTGTGTTTTTTGGTCCCATTGATATTTTATTTACACGATTCACGTCGGTATTTATGGAAAATTAATGATACACTGTAGTGATTGACTGGCAATTGTACATGTTTTTGTACACAATGAAGATGCCACACATGTGTTAGTCTTTTTAAATTATTGTACTGTTCTGTGTGACTTGAATCTCCTCACTTACTTACCGTATTGTCCTGACAATTTGATATTTGCACCATGGCCTTACCTGCAGATGTGGCTGATGCCATATTGCAATCGAACCAAGCTCTCGCAGACACTCTTGCAGGGGCATTTCAGAATTTAAAGTACCAGCGAGTCAGCACAGTACGACTGGTAAAATTTTGTGGGCCTCCCACTAGAGCTGGGGATCAGACCATACATGAGTGGTTGGCCGATATCGGGACATATTGTAGGCAAGTTGGACTTGGAGATGGGGAAAATTGAGTACTGCCTTAGATTACTTGGGCGGGATTGCCAAGGAAGAAGTGCTATGTACCCCTAACGAACAAAGGGATGATTTCAATAAGCTTACCGCGCTGCTGAAAAAAAACACGGTTCGATTCTCCAGAGTCCGTTCAATCCTTGACAAGAACCCTGTACGGCCGAATGCAGTTGCAAGGTGAAAGCCTTACAGATTACAGTCGTGTACTAATTCGGTTGCATGATCGGATCGAAGCCGCTGCAGTAAATGCGCAAGAGAAAAATGCACTTGCTCAGCTTCGAGAAAGCACCTTGAAAGAACAATTCATGAAAGGTGTGGAGGATATCTCAGTCAAGCGAGAATTGCGAAAACTCTGTCATAGCCGGGCCGATATCTTGTTTTGTGAGCTGCGTGAGTTTGCGTTGGAATTATTTCCTACCACGGAACAGTCACACCCCAATAAATCGGCGCCTGATGACTCTGATGTTGCAACTGCAACTGCTTATAGGGCCGCCGCAGTACCCGACAGCAAGGCGCTTTCTGAAGTTCTAGAGAACCAAAAACAGTTTGTTACTTCTGTACAGCAATTAGTAGCGCAGCAGACCTCGATGAATGCAGACATAAAAGTCATTTGTGATGGTGTGAAGCACTTGCTAACTTCACAGCGGCCTAAAAAGCCTATGGTCAAATGCTCATTCTGCAACAGGCCGGGGCATACTGCTGAAAATTGCTACAAGCGAAAGCGAATCGAAAATACAAAGCCTGTAGAACATGCTGGCAAGAACGCAGAAGGCCATACCTCGGGAAACGTGGATCCTCCGTCGCAGACGGCAGTGTAACGGAGGCTCATACCGTATTTTTACCCACGGACTGTGTACCCGATATTTCAGTTGTTTCTAATTCTGTTATTGGCCACTGGCCGGGAGTGTCAATCTTTCCGCTTCAGAGATTCGTAAAAGGCTCCTCGGTAAATGCCCTACTGCAACTGTTATCGTGAATGGGGTCACCACAAAGTGTTTGCTTGACACAGGCGCTGAGGTCTCTTTACTGTCAAGCCAGTTTTATCAAAAACATGTAGCAAACACCTTGGGGAAATTACAGCCCGTGAGCAAGCTCATCAAACTGATGGGCGCCAATGATCTCGAAATCCCAGTAGAAGGTTACATAGAGACCTCATTAGAAGTTTTTGGCCAAAGTTTTAAGGCTTCTTTCTTAGTTTCTAGAGAGACGGCAGCATCCGCTAACGTCTCCAAGAAAAACTATTGCCCCGTTATACTTGGCTGTAACATTTTGAGGCGAATTGCAGCCAATTCGAAGAGAATTGGGTCTGTTCAGCTAGATCCAGACTGGGATCTAGCACTCCGTTGGTTGCAAACCGCAGTATTGGTTGATGACCTGCATACCGCAGAGTACACGTCAGCAGACGTGTACACGTGTGAACGTGTTGTTGTGCCCCCGCAAACCGTGGCTAGTGTCAAGTGTATTTCAGACGACCACGACTTAAATTCGTTGCATATCAAGGAGTTTTTTTAGTGAGCAGCATTCCCCTTTGCTTGTCTAACAATGGTAGTTTCCGAGAAGTAAAGTCGGGTAACGAAGATGGTTCATTGGCCATATGTCAGGTGCTTGACGGTGACGGACAAATTGACGGTGCAAATATTAACGTGTATATAGCAAATGCTAGTGCAGAGCCCTTGATTATCCCGGCGCTCACTCAGGTAGCAGTTTTATCTGCAATTAATACTGAGGAGCAGATTTTCCTTGAGCAGGATGGGGATGGGCTTCACGTGTCAGTGCACCGTGTTGTAGCCAGTGTTCGCGAAGAAAACGAACCGAATGACTCCATAGATAGCAATTTGCCTTGCAATGAGCATGAGTTAAAAGAGGATGCACTGACAGATAGGGAAAATAGGGAAACCTTTGTTTTTCCAGACGGCACCAATTTTGTCATGTCTCCTGGTCTTACCCTTAAACACTTAGCACCAGAAGACGCTATTAAGGCAGCGGAATTAATTAAAAAGTATATCGATGTTTTCTCAGCCGGGCCCTTTGATTTGGGTTATTGTGACATCATCCCTCACAAAATACGGCTGAGCGATGATACTCCAGTGAACCTCCCTTATCGGAGAATATTACCTTCTAAGGTTGGAGAAGTGAAGACCCTGCTTCAGGATCTTCTCGATAGGGGCATAATACGTCGACCATCTAGTCCTTACGCGAGTCCCATCGTTCTTGTGCGTAAGAAAAGTGGCCAACTCAGATTATGTATTGACTTCAGTTGCTTAAACGCGAAGACAGCCAAAGATTCATTTCCATTGCCGAGGATAGACGAAACCCTAGAGGCTCTTGGTGGCGCTAAAGTATTTTCTTCTTTAGATATGGCCCATGGCTACTTCCAAGTAGCCATGGAAGAAGATTATATTGATAAGACCGCGTTTAGGGTACCTTGGGGACTCTATGAATTTTTACGTCTTCCCCAGGGTCTCATCAACAGCTCAAGTACGTTTCAGAGAATAATGGAACACATTTTCGGAGATCTGAACCTGTCGGAGCTGATTCTCTATCTAGATGACCTGTTAGTCTACTCTGCCACATTTGACAGCCACATTGAGAGACTTGACAAAGTTTTCAGTCGTTTTAAACAATACGATTTCAAACTAAACGGGTCAAAGTGTCAGTTATTCAGAGATTCCGTGGTTCATTTGGGTCATGTCGTAGACTCTAACGGAGTGTCAGTATATCCTGATAAAACCGAACGAGTGAGGTCTTGGCCTACCCCAACAACTGCAAATCAACTGCGTTCCTTCCTTGGGTTAGCCTCGTACTACATGCGTTTCGTGCGCGACTTCGCCAAAATTGCAGAGCCATTACACGCGCTCACCGGTAAAGCACAATCAAAAGCAGGGAAGGCCACAGCCCCATTCGTTTGGACAGAAGAGGCCGACGTAGCTTTCAATGTTTTGAAAGACGTACTGTGCACGGCCCCTGTCTTGGCATATCCGTGCTTTGATCGCGACTTTGTACTTGAGACGGATGCTTCTGCTAAGGGTTTAGGCGCGTGTCTCTGTCAGGCTGATGACAGTGGGAAACTTCACTCAGTCGCGTACGCGAGTCGAAGTCTACGCGGAGCAGAGAGAAATTATGCCGATTTATCCAGTTTCAAGCTGGAATTACTCGCCTTGAAATGGGCAGTGTCAGAAAAATTTCGCGACTACCTGCTTGGTCACCACACAATCGTGTGGACTGACCATAACCCTCTGTCTCACCTACAAACGGCAAAACTTGGTGCTACTGAGCAGAGATGGATAGCCCAATTAGCACCTTTCGATCTTGAGATAAAATATAGATCCGGGAAGACAAATAAGTGTGCTGACGCCCTAAGCCGCTATCTTCATGTCGCCTCAGTAACCTGCGTTGAACTACAAAATTATGGACTCACCTGCGAGGGTTCACAAGTACCCATTGATGTGTCAGCTCAGAATGCGTCCGAAACGCATACCCAAAAGACAGAAGGCACATCACAGGAGACCGCCGGTTCTGCCCCTGCGGTGCTCCCCTCGTTCTCACATGAGGAGCTTGCCTCCCTTCAGAAAGAAGATCAGTCTTTACGAGTTGTGTGGGACAGTTGGTATAAAAAAAATGCAAGCCTTGCCAAAATATGGATGATGTTAAACTCACTTCCGAAGTGCGTGGTTGGTTAAAAGAATGGCCACGAATAACAGAACACAATGGCGTGTTGTATAGGGAAACTGTTGACCCTGCAAGAGGGACTGTTTTCCAACTCCTTGTTCCGCAAAAACTCCGTAAGTTAGTTTTGGAAGCAGCCCACGACCATTGGGGCCACCAAGGCATAAACAGAACATTGGCGTTTCTTCAGCAGCGCTGTTATTGGCCGGGAATGACGAATTGTGTCCGAAATCACGTTCAGACGTGTTTTCGTTGTACGTTGACGAAAGTGCCAACGCCAACAATTCGTTCGCCAATGCGGCATTTGCTGGCGTTTCAACCTCTTGAACGCCTTGCTATCGATTTTGTCAAACTTGATGTCGTTAAGGGGAAGATTGAAAATGTTCTCGTACTTACTGATGCCTACACTAAATTCTCCCTAGCAATTCCATGTAGGGATCAAACAGCGCCTACAGTAGCTCGTGTCTTGCGGGATCAGTGGTCCTCACATTATGGCACTCCAGCCCAAATTCATTCAGATCAAGGCAAAAATTTCGAGAGCCATTTGATCAGAGAGCTGTGCAATTTATATGGCATAAAGAAAACGAGAACCACTGCTTACCACCCGCAAGGCAACGGGCAAACCGAAAGGTTCAATCGCACGCTTTGTGGCCTTATCAGATCACTTGATGGTAAAATTCGTCATAATTGCCCAGATTTTCTGCCCCATCTAGTACATATCTATAACACCACTCCGCACAGCGTAACGGGGTACCCGCCTTTTACGCTAATGTTCGGCCCAGATCCGGTTGTTCCGCTAGATCAACTGCTGAATAATACGCGTACAAACTGGAATGAACATGCCATTCAGAAACAGGCAGAGATCATCAGACAAACACTATATTGAGTCTTGAAAAAGCACTCAGTCACTTTGTTTGCACGTGTAGTTTAAAAGTTACTGAAATGGAACCAGTTTGTGTTCGGTAAAATTTGGAATAGGAATTCCAAAAGCAGGAATGTTGTGGGAGATTCACATATTTTAGTCATACTTTAAATGTGTGTATGCATGCAAGAGGATTATATATAAAGAGTAATATGTAGTTACCCTTTTTGACTTATTTAGTACAAAACCACTCCGGAAAAAAAAAAAAAATGATTTTTTTTTTGGACTTATGGATCGTTCGAGGGCGACTGATCCTTAAAGCAGGGAAATTGTGGCGATTCATAATAATTTGAAAATCATCAAAACGTATTTTGTCACCCCGTGCTTAGGCACGCCATACTTTTTGGATGCAAATGTATACATTGCGTGGCAAATGTATACATTGGGGCCTATATGACACAGCGCACAAAAGCCAGTGCATGCTGCAGATGCAGGGAGATAACGCTGTTTTGGCGTACTATTATTGAAGTGCAAGACGATAACTTTTCTTTTGGCCAGACATACCTAGTCTGCGACGTGTAGACCAGTTCGAGGGCTTTCTCTCCAAGCTGTGAGCTGTGCTGTTTTGTGTATCCTTAAATAACGGAAGCCAAAGGCACTGGGGTAGGTTTATCTGTATAATTTATTATTTAATAATATTTATAAATCAGACCGATTACTTTGTTAGAAACTTAATTGCCACCTCACGTATTGTAATTTTTCAGGGTTTTTACTTCTACTGAAAGAAGTCTTGTCTTCTTCGGGATCATAAAGCTAGATAAGAGATAGATCTGAAGCTTGTCATTTGTCATGTCATCTGTTGAATAAAACAACGGCGAGGCCTGCCGACGAGTCGACCCTTGATATGTGGCTTTCCAGCTACTACAATAATATGAAATGTGATACTGCATGTTGTCTCGTTAAGATCGTAACAGTTTAATTAAAATAAAATCATGTTTTCGTAACTCACGCCATGCTCGCGCTGCGACGAATTGATTCTGTTTTTACCCCAGACACCGCATTCAAAAACAAACGCAAATGTAACGCACAGGCAGGCACCAGACTACTCCTAATTTGCATACGTGTTCAAAAATCTTGCACATGCAAATGATCCAATACCACTTACCAGCGTGAGAGAGCAGGTAGTGGTTGGCGCGTACTGCTCGACACCCTGGGGACGAGGTTGGTACGACTACGACTACGTGGCACTAGTACGATAATCCTTTCCTAGGGACGATGGACACACATCTATCGTCTCTCTTCTGGCCTTTTTCTTGCCTTATTTACAGAACCTTCATGATATAAGACTTGAAAGAGGTTTTACTATGCATTGATATAATAAAATCAAATAATATACACCAATATCATGAATTATTTCGATTTAATAAAAAGACAAACCTCCTGCCGAATGCGCTGAAGCTACCGAAGTCGCCATTGTTGCACGCAGTCTGGTTCCCTGACTATGCCGTGACGTCACCGAGTCAGGGGCCGGGGGGGGGGGGGTTCGATCCAACTCGGACCCAAACCACTCGACAACCAACTCGGACCAACTACCAACTCGGACCCACTACCAACTCGGACCTACAACCAACTCGGACCCACTACCAACTCGGACCCATGCATGACCAACTCGGACCCATCGTTTACAATAATTCGACAGCGTTTTCAATCATTCGACAATATTATAAAGTTTGTCCACTTATCATCTGTTAATACAGTGATGCTGTTATGTATAAATTGTCATTGTAGTTGTCAGGTAAAATATCTGTATTGCAGCAGTTTGTCGTTGTAAAGTGCATTGAAATGCTATTTTGAAATGCGCTTTAAAAGTGTAATTAATTATTCATTTTTATTATTTGTTTCCATTGAAACATATTGCGCTTTAACCAAAAGTAATTAAAATTAAAGTTTAACCAATTATTCATGTTCATATTTGACATCGTTCACGCCATCTTGCTCAATTTAACAGCGATTTATTTCATTTTTAGTTCAAACCACATACATTCAGAACAGAGATCTTCATGGAAAAATAAAATTGGAAAGTAAGACATTGAAACATAAACACTTTCAAACATGGCATTATTAATTCAATGAATATAAGTAAACATATTATAAGTCATTAAATAAAATAAATAAGGTATAAAAACAAAGTCTATTCTATGTACATGTACATGTATTTAAAACAAAACCCACATAAACACCATTGTATACTGCAAGAAAAACGAAGGTTCCATATTGAACAAAAAAGGTTAATCAAAAAAGTATAAAAAGTTACACAGATTCGTAAAAAAAACCACAAAATTAAAAGCCAGCATGTAAAAAAAGATAAACTTATTAAGTACCCTACAAAAAGATGAAATGTCAATCATCAAAAAGGAGTGTTGGAGCTCTGGGAAGATTATCCTTCAAGGCCTTACAGGTAGCTGCCTGTATGTTCGACTATGATGTTCCACGGGGGAAAAAGTTAATCAAAAAAATATTAAAAGTTAAACAGATTCGTAAAAAAAAAACAATTAAAAAAACTAACAATTACATGAAATGAAAGGTCTATTTCAAATTAATAACTTCCTCACTGAAAAAAATGTGTAATATGCTTTACCAAAAAACAAAGTAAGTGAATTTAAATATATAATTAAATGAAATTAACTGCCTAAATGGGTAAAAAATATTATTATTAAATGACAGGAGTATAAACAACACGTGCCATTTCCAAGTACCCAAAAATAATTAAAATCAACGTAGTATGATCAAACAACAAAATTAAAAGCCCAATTCTGACCAATATTAGTACAGAATATGTTCACTATATATAAGCACTGTAACTTAAGATGACCTTTAAATATAATCTCTGAAACTAATGATTAAGTCATTGTTGAGTCCGAGTTGGTCGTGCTTGGGTCCGAGTTGGTAGTGGGTCCGAGTTGGTAGTTGGTCCGAGTTGGTAGTGGGTCTGAGTTGGTCTTCGGTTCGAGTTGGTAGTGGGTCCGAGTTGTCTAAAATTGTCTCCTCTCGTGAAATGTGGCGCCCAAGGGGGGGGGGGACATAATGTGATTTAAAGTATTGCGAGCGCGTAGCGCAAAGCCTATAACTTAACAGCGTGGGTAGGGGCGGCGGAACCGGGGGGATTTTTCCAGGCCAATAATAGTGCCCCTCTCGTGGTTATTAATCATGTGCCTCGAGATGAAAACAAAACTGCCCCCTCAAACGCAAACGTATGAAAGCATATGACCGCGCTTCAAATAAAATTGTCTCCTCTCTTGTATAAACGCAAAACTGCACCTCAAACACACAAGTACCCCTCTCGCTTTTTGTGCAACTTCTCGAGATGGAAAATTGCGCCTCGAAAGATGGTGCCCCGCTCGCAACTTAAATTAATTGTGCCCCCAAGATGAAAAACTGCTCCTAAAATAAGTAGTGCTCTTCACGCGAATAAAATGGTCACATAAATGGCCATTAAAAAGCAACAGTGCCCCTATCGCTCGCAATATGGCCTGTAGCTACATATGGAGCTAGGACCAGGAAAGACAAAGAGCAAGATGGACAACATGATTATTTTATTCCTCGTCATATTAATATAGCGAAATGAACGGGACCATATTCTTTTCCTCCACTTTCACACCGTACCGACAGAGGGTGCCCATGATTTTTCTGAGCAAGTGCCCCTTTTTGGTGTTGCCCCCCCCCCCCCCCCCAGTTTGAATAGCGTTCTGCCTTTTTTAGCAAAAGCTAGATCATCATTTATTACATATCATTTTCGAGTTGAGAGTCATTGAATCAGCTACATATATCCTGAGCTACAATGTATAAAATCAAATTGTGGCCTACAAATTTATTCGGGGACGAAAAAAGTGTTTGTGTGGGTGTGCTCTTGTATTGTATTACGCTCGAGGACAGACAACAAAAGGAGCACAAAGGAGCCTTTGACCCTCGGACGACGGTGCCTATTGTTAAAACCGGTCCTCGATCGTACGGTTATGTGCTTAGTCTATGGGAAAGTGTTATATTAGAGGGACAAAGGAAAACACAATAGTTGACCTCAGGCGTATAGTAAAAAAAGACTGTGTGTGTGTGTGGGGGGGGGGTGTGTGTACAGGCATTACATTCACTGTGTGGACTTCCGAACAAAAGATGTCCACATAAACCAGGTAGAGGAGACACTGTGCGGACTTGGGCAAGTCCACACAGTGTTTCCCCATTTCTGGAAAACAGGTTTAGAGGCATTTTTGGGTTAGGTTTATCCGTAGCAGAATGAAGAGAAACACTAAAGGGAATCATAGAAAAAAAATTGGGTTGAAAGAGTTTTCACAGTTTGAGAAAAATGAGTTTTTTCACTGGTTTTTCTTAACTACACGAAAGCAATGGAAAGTCCACACTTGGTATGTAACGTAAACTTGGGTGTGTGTGTGGGGGGGGGGGGGGGGGGGTTGGACACAAACGATATGAAAACCCGGAGACTTAAAAAAAAAAAGGGGGGGGGAGAGACATTGTCCTTTCCCGTCCCGACCCCCCCCCCCTATCGATTGACGCACATGAATGCCGAAGGCGTGCCCGCCCGCCCTATAGGTACATGAGGTCTGGGTAACTGTAACAGCATACGGCACCAACGCGTGTTCAGAGCGGATTCTAAAATTCAGACGAAAATGAATGACCGATTTTAAGAAGTGACTGAACATTTTAGGAAATCGGCCGGGAAAACCTAATTTTGCTATTTTCCTTCTAGGTTCATTCCCCCCCCCCCCCAGGCGCGGTTTTAGAACCAATATTTTTTTGAGGGGGGGGGGGGGGGCTAGCACGGTGGATCCAGAATTTTTCAGGGAGGCGTGCCGAAATGTAGACCGGTTATTTTTTCCAGACACTTAGGCGTCCGAAAATCAATAGGTGGGGTCGGGGGGGGGGGGGGATATTGCCATATTTTCAATGGGGAGCGCCAATAAAATCCTAAAATCATTCACACTATATTAAGTAACTAATGCACCCTTGTCACGGCCATTCTTCTTTAGGGGTAGACCGTTCGCATGTACATCACAATCCTTCTTTTTGCTAATGCAAATTTTTTACGAAATTTATTTTGGGGGGCTAGACAAAAATTTTGGGGGGGGGGGCGGGCTGCCCCCCTAGGCCCCCCCCCCCCCTGTAACTGTTATTATTTTGTTTGTTATAATTATTTCGTCTAACTTATCCAATTTAACTTGACCTGTACATAATCAAATAAGTCTCTTTATTTTCCAAACTTTGTTGTCCATGGGTCCCGTACTCGACAAGCTCTGCTTCCTACGGGTCCCTCCACTTCACTGTTCTTATGACATTGTGTTTAGTATTTGTATTTTCTGTGTTTGTTAACGCTGTACTCTTGTTCTCTGTCTGTGTATGAAGTCGGGAAATAAATGAAATGAAATGAAAACTAAACAGTGTCTTCCAGAATGACATCACCATAACAATCATTTGTCACGCTCAGCAGTCCGGAAAAGCATGGAAACTTGTACCCTTACATAACTCAACCCATCAACCCCAAACGGCATGTTTTGTTGGAATCTGTCAAGATGGGTACAGTAGGCCTAAACTGACAGTCTTTTACAGTTAAGGTTGGCACCTCCTACAGAATCAAAGCAAAAAATATGTCTGTGCAGTTGGAATTTGCCAGAATGGGCATGCTAGGGAGTTGAAGATGCAATAAGATTAACCAAAAAAGGATGTCAATGTGTAGTTTTCATACATTTCAGAACAGTAGATAGTTGCAGAAAATATATTCCTGAACAATCATTTCACGGACCCTTTAATTGAGAAAGATAGGTGTGCATTTACCGATTGGAGACATCAGGTATGATTTACGCCGAGATAATTCAGAATCTTACATGCAGGAAATCTTAAAACATGCTCGAAAAACTGTTAAATATATTTGCTCATTAATGCAAAGGAATGCCCGATCCACCCCTTGCTGCTGGTACGCAGACAAAATTGAATGAACAACGGGGTACTTTTAATTTGAATGCATCTTTTACAGGGACGAATGAAGCTAAAAGACGATAAAATGCCCAGATAGAGAAATTGAATGATTTATTTTGATTGTCGAATTTCGGTCACTGCGTGATCTTTCAATTTCTAAATCTAAATTAAATAAGCCAGGCGTTAAATTGAATGTAAACTTGGTGTAATTGGCAACCAAAACCTATATTATTCTACTATCATTTTAGATTTTAAGAGGGTGTTTACAGCCAACCACATTAATTTCCCTTCTCATGTTTGTAGCTGTTTCGGAGTATACTCAGAAACAGAATTGTTTTTGTTAAAGTTCCCCCCTTATTTGTTCTTTTTCAGACCCCTCTCCTTAGGTTTGTACATGTTTCTTCTACCCATGCACTTGGCACTTTCGTTAATCCGATCGACTTCAGACTAGGCATACATAAAATTATAGGCAACCACCCTAAGGCCCCCCCCCCCAAAAAAAT